AGATGTTACATGTCAAAATTAAGGTACAGGATGGAGTTTAGAAGATAAATGGTGTCTCAAGACCAAAATGGCCTTGAGATGGACCAAAATTAGAACAAATTTAAGCATTGGACGTAAGGACTAGTAAATATAAGGCTAATTAGTAGATTAATATAACACAAGGCTTAGTACGCACATGCAAACCTGTAAGGTTATCCAAAGGACAATGAGGAAAAGGAGAAGCCTTCACCAAAAGACCACCAAAAGAAGACTGAAGACCTTCTGACAACAAGTGAGGCATGTGCCATGAATAAAAATGATGTAAAGTCAGAAAAATCAGAAATAGGAGGAAACTTACAGGAAACATTAATGAATATGTATAAGCATACAGTATATGAGTTTAGCTTGAAGTGCTTTGTTTTGAACGTGAGGCAGGGTGGGAAGCCTCCATACCCTGGTGGGTTTTGCTTATGCTTTAATCATACTTAATTACTAGTAGATTATATATATAAATTTTAATTTTTTATTAAACTGTATTATTTTACTAAACTATATTCCTTTATACCACATTGCTATTCAGATTAGTAAATTGTATTCATTTTTAATTAAACTGCCATTAAGCCAAGGGACCTAGTTGTCAAAATTCTAATTTCATTTATAACAATATTTTAACAAAGAAGGCTGGTACAACAACATTGGTATTTAACAACCGTGACACAATATGAGCTATATTAACAAAGAAGGCACCTTATGATGACAACATTCTACTGTTCAAACTGTAAAATATCTTTCTGTATTGATCAGGAGGTCAGGATTTACTCTTTACAATCCTGATGCTGAATATCTTCTTAGGGAGTCTGGTCACAAAGAAGAATGAATCCCTCGCAGGCTGCCCCTGTTTGGACAACCTGCTCCTCACCCCGAGCCTCAGCATGTCTGACATGGCCCACCTGGGACTGACATCCTAAAACATTGATAACATTTATCAACTTCTCTTTATCAATAAAATTGAATTAATTAATAAAAATAAAATTTTATTATTTTATAATAATATTGTTCTGTATTTTTATAACCTAATTTTTATATTTATATAAAATAATTGATACATTTTTAGCAACTAAAAACATTATTGGTCCTTGGTTCAAAGTTCCACCTTCATTAATTAATTGATCACTATTTCTCCCTCCTTATGCTAATTACACCTATTTTTAGTCCTTTGATCATATTTTTTAATCATTTTCTCAGATTGGGTAAAAGGGATCACTTTGGGATCCATGGAAACTTTTCTGGGGAACATTTGGGGCAGTTTTGTGTCTGGGGAGGGAATTTAGAGAGAACTTAGTGGTCTGGAGGACACTTGGGGGAGTCGGGTGGGCACTTGGAGGGGTACTTAGGGATTCTGTGGGACAATTCGGGGCCTGGGGGAGCACTTGGGGGTCCAAAGGGGCGCTTGGGGGTCAGGGACGTGAATCTGGGGGCCCTTCGGGGACCAGGCGGGCACTTGGGGGGCTGTAACGGGGAATCTATGGGTCGCGGGGGATGATGGGAGCTGTAGGCGCCGATGTAAAACGGTTTAATGCGGCCGCGGAGCATCACGGGAGTTATAGGCGCAGCTCCAATGGGTTCCAGTGGGGCGTGGGGCATGACGGGAGATGGAGTCCCGGCTGCAATAGCGTTTTACGGGCGTCGCAGAGCATGATGGGAGCTGTAGTCCCGTAAGTGGCTCGGAAGGCGCATTTGGCGATGTGGGGAGGTACTTGGAGAGCATTTCTGCGTCCGAGCCGTGGCTGCAGGTCCTCGGGGCGAATGTATACGGCTCGGGAGCACCTGGGGAGAACCTGGGGAGCTCTGACTGGGCTCTTTAGGGCGCGGTGCACAGCAGGAGGTTTGGGCGCGGAACTGTGTTCTGGGATGATGGGAGATGAATTCTCAGCAGTGTCTGGAAGGGGCATCTGTGAGGTCGGGAGCATTCAGTGATCCAGGGACGTTTTGGGGGGTCCCGAACGGGCGCTGAGGGGGCACTCGGGGATCCTGAAGGGTCTGGGGGACACATGGGACCTATGGGGGGCGATCCCAGGGTTCTGGGGAGCGCAGGGCATGTTCCCAGTTCCTCACAACCTGGTCTCAATTGCCCCCTGCAGGCTCCTACTCACTGCCAGGACGATCCCAGTATGATATCCCAGGATGATGTCAGTACACAGCCAGTGCAATCTCAGCCACTGCCAGGATGATCCCAGTACAAACCAGTCCCTGCCAGTGCTGCCACTCCTGGGATCCCCCAGCCCTCTCTGTGTTCCCCCCTCCCACATTTCCCCAGAGGAGCCCCAAGGGCTGGCAGTCCCCAGCCAGGGTCCCCAGCCAGCCCAGTTTTGGGGGATCTGCAGCCCCCAATTTTCCCAGTTTCCCTCTCCTTTTCCCCGGGCCGGGTTCCCTCCATCCCCAGCGGGTGGGAGCAGCGGAGAGCCCCGCGCTGCCCATCCCGACCTGTCCTGGCTCCATCCCCGCTCCTGCTGTGGGCTGTGAAGGGTTCGGGAATGGGGCACCGAGGGTGTCACTGCTCCTGGGGGAGGAGGGGGAGGGATGGAAGAGGAAGGATGAAGGAGAGCAAGACAGGATGGAAGTAGGAGAAGGGAGTGGTGTTAGGGAGGAGGTGGAGGAGGGAGGAAGAGGCGGAGCAGGAGGAAGAGGAAGAGGAGGGACAGAGGAGGATCAGGGAAAGGAGAAGGAATCACAAGGTCCAGCACTCCCTGAATTCACAGCTCCCACCCGTGGGATCATCACCCCGCATCCCACAGCTGACCGGGGTGGGGGAGCTTGGCCCTGGTATCCTGGAGGGTTCCTGGGTTGGGTTTTTTTGTGGGTGATGTTTGAAGAATGAAGAACTCCAAAGCTGTATGCAAAATGCCCCTTGGGGGAACATTGGGGGGTCCTGGTGGCAGCTGCTGGCAGAGGCAGCCTGGAGGAGCAGAGCCCTGTGTCCCCCAGGACCCCAAAGTGGGGAGCCCAGAGAGGAGGAGCTCTGCAATTTGTTGGACCCTCAACAGCCTGGAGAGGGGCAGGGGGAACTCCTTGGACCCCCTGCACCCCAAAGCAGAGAATAAGGGGAGAAGGGACTCTGAAGCCCCAAAAACCTCCAGCATCCCTAAGTGCTGAGATGGAAACGGGTAACTTCTCGGATTCCTGGCACTCCCAGCAGCCTGGGGAGGGCAGGGACTGAGTAGACTGGTGACCCCCAGTGCAAACGTGACCTCCAGGAGCTGGGATGGGAGGGAAACCCTGAACACCAAAGGGGAGAGAACAGAGATGGGGAACTTCTGGGAGGAATTTTCAGGGCTGAATCTTGGTGTTTGGGGGTTTTTATGGACTCCAGATGCCCCGGTGACTTGTAGAGATGAACATGGGCAGAAGGAACCCCCTCAGCCCATCTGCTCATGAATCGTATTTTTCCCCAAGCCAGGATTTCCCATTCCCAAACCTTGGCTGGATGGAGGAAGAGGCTACAAGGAAGAGGAAGATGCCCCAGGACACCCAGGCAGGTGAGGAGGAAGTCAGTGCCCCTTTCCCCCTCTCTCCTGCTCCATCTCCCAGCCCAGCATGGCCCCCAGCTGCAGGACAGTTCCGCTGCCAACGCCGTCCTGCCGGGGACGCACTGGGGGGATCTCCTTCCCCTTCCCTCTGGCACGGAGGCAAATCCCATCCTCTCCTTGTCCTTCCTCCTCCAGACAAGGAGCTGAGGATGGAGACCAGGGAGAACAAATCCCCATGGCAGAACCTCATGGAACAGGCTGATTTGAGCAGCTCCACAGCGCAGAAATCCAATGGGGAGGAAAAGCCCTGGAGATCCCACAGGAGGAGGGGCTCCAAACCCATCCCAGGGTGCTCTGAGGAGGAAAGACCCACCCTGTGCCGGGAAGGCGGCCGGAGATCCAGCCAGGCCTCTGAGCTGGTGGTCCATGAGCAGCTTCAGGATGGGGAGAAGCGCTACAAGTGCTTGGAGTGTGGGAAGAGCTTCAGCTACAGAAACAGCCTGATCCACCACCAGATGATCCACACTGGGGAATGGCCCTATGAGTGTGGAGAATGTGGGAAGGGCTTCAGCTGCGTCTCCGACTGCATCCATCACCAGTGCATCCACACTGGGGAGAGGCCCTACGAGTGTCCCGAGTGTGGGAAGAGGTTTCAGACTAGCTCTCATCTCCTCCAGCACCAGTGGATTCATACAGAGGAGAGGCCTTTCCACTGCCCCGACTGTGGTGGGGGCTTCAAGGACAACTCCAACCTCAATAGGCACCGGTGCATCCACACTGGGGAGAGGCCCTATGAATGTCTCCAGTGTGGGATGAGGTTTCGCATCAGCTCCACTCTCCTCGTGCACCAGCGGATTCACACAGAGGAGAGGCCCTTCCGCTGCCCTGACTGTGGGGAGGGCTTCAAGCACAACTCCACCCTCACCATTCACCGGCGCATCCACACTGGGGAGAGACCCTTCAAGTGTGGGGAATGTGGGAAGAGATTCACCCAGAGCTCTCACTTGACCAAACACCAACAGAGGCACCAATAAGGGAAGCCCTGCAAGTGCCCCAAGTGCAGGAAGAGCTTTGTGTGCTGCCCCAACTCCATCCCCCATCAGAGGACCCACGTTGGGCAGAGCCCTGATGACCCACATTACCAGTGATCTGTGTTGGGAAGACACTGGGCTGGTGGTCATTTTAGTTTGGTTTCAATTATCTTTTGGTTCATCTTCATCCTTGTAAAACAGACAAAATTGGGGTAAAAATCAACAAATTCATCAAAAGCATCTTAAACCTTACTTTTTACTAGTGTTTCAAGGGAATCTGGGATTTAGGGAGAAACTTGGGGGTTGTGGCGGTATTTGGTGTAGTTGTCTCCATTTCTTGGCATTCAAAGGGATGAGAGGGTTTGATCTGCCACCTCTAAACCACTCCAAAATTTTACCATTCCACAGCCTCTAAGGGTGTGATGCCTTAAGCTTTAGCTTTCATGTTTTTCATATTCTGCACTGGCTAGGTTTGTAGTTTTGAACTTCATATTAAGTGTTGGTGAGCTCTCTTCACAGAGTAGGTAGACAAAACAATTCCTTTTCTAGCTTGATACTAAGGGCAGTCATTACAAGTTTCAGGCCCAAAAGCATAAACAAGGGTGGACTAAAGGAAGAAAACAAGAAGGATGGGACTTCACCATCTGAAGCTGTAATTGGACAATGAACCCAAATATGCAGATGGACCTAAGCTTACAAAAATGTGAGACCTTACAATGAGTAGTTCATCCATTTTTGTGGCCATTTTTGGTTGATCTTGGGTGTAGCCCTGGGCAGGCTCTTGTATACCCAAGGTATATCCTTTAAGGCCTTATAATAAACTTTATTCTTACCTTTGTGCAGCCTCTGTTCTAGGTCAGCCTTCTGAAGGCATCAGGTGGAATGGGATTGGAAGGGGACTGGGCGAAGTGGGATGTAAATCAGGTGGGGTGAGATGGGCATTGGGTGGGGCAGGATGGGTGGGATAGGGATTGGGAGGTGTGAAATGGGCAAAATAGGGGTTGGGAAGGAGGTCTTGATGTCCAGCAGAGATGAGATGGGTTGGCCTTGGGATTGGGGAGGTGCGGTGGGGTCTGGAATGAGACAGCCAAAGTTTGGGGATGATGAAGGGAGGGGGAGCCCATTACTGGGTGAGCTTTTGTGTGAGGTGCCCCTGCCCAGGGAGGCAAAGATTTGGTTTCAAATGAACATGATTAAAGTGAGAGGTGTGGGCAAGAGGGAGTTCCATCCCTCTGCCTTGGAGTATGGGCCCTGCGAGCCCAGGAAGAAACTCCACCCTGGACCCCTCATGGGATGGCAACCCAGGGATTTCTGATTGTGTTTGGGCCCCTGGTGTTTCTCCCTTGCTGTGTTCCCAGTGGTCCCTAACCTTGAACTCCACCCTGATTCTCCAAACCCATCTCCCTGCCTCTGTTCGGGGCTGTCTCTGGATCTGAGTTTGTTCCTCTGCTGAATAAATGTTTTCCTGAGCAGAATCCCGTCTTGTTGGTGTCCCATGCCAGTTCCTGGTAACTATAGCCTCCCTGGACATGAACCTGCGGCCCTGGAATGCAAAACCCTGCAAAATTAAGACCTTCCCCAGACCTCCAAAATCCCCAAATTCCCTAAAATTCACCCAAAACTCCCCAAATTCCCTTAATTTCCCTATAATGCTCTTTTTGTCCCCCTCTGCTGCCTCTGCAGATGGTGTCTTGGGGACAACTCCAGGAATTTGGAGGGGGTCTCTCCTCCTCTTCCATCCCCAAAAACCCACCACTTTTGTGAAAAAAAATCGCAACAATCCCTTGGATTCAAGGGGATGTTGCCCCATTTTTTATGCATTTTGGGGGGGTTCCCCCCTAATTTGTCAGTGTTTTTTGCCATTTTTTGGTGGTTTTGGCCATTTTTTGGTGGTTTTGGCATTTTTCAAAGTGAGCTTTTTTGGGGGGGGTTCCCCCAATTTTTTGGAGGTGGGTGCCTCAATTTTTTTCTGGGGGTTCACCCCCTCCCCCAATATTTCCTTCATTCCCCTCCCCCCAAATTGGGGTAAGAGAGTCTTTTTTTTCCTTTTTTTTTTTTTATTTTTACCTTTCCCCCCCACCTTTTTTTTTTTTCCTCTTTTTATTTATTTGCACTTAATTTTGAGGGGCAGGAATTTTGGAGAGGGGTCACCTGGGGTGACACGAAAAGTTGGGGAGACCCTGTTCCCACAAAAAATAGGAAAAATCCCAGGAATTCTGGTGGTTTTGCCCAGACCCAAGGTGTGAAAAATGTGAAAAAAATTATGTTCTCAGATTTTTGGTGATTTTGGGGGAGAGGGTTGCAATTTTGGGGGGATTTTGGGGAAGGGTTGCTGTTTTTTGGGGGGTGTTCCCAGGTTTTGGAGTGGAATTGAGGAATTTGGTGGTTTGGGGGAAAACTTTGGAGCTCCTGGGGGGAATTTCGGGGTTTTAGGGCAGGAATTTTAGGATTTTTTTGTAACATTTGGGTGTTTGGGGGGAAATTTGGGGTTTTGGGGAGAACTTTGGGTTTTTTAGGGGGAGGATTTGGGGTTTGGGGTAAAAAAAATGGGGTTTTGGGGTGGAAAATTTGGTGGGATTGGGGGGAAAATTTTGGGGGGAGAATTTGAGTCTTGTGAGGATGTGGGACTTTTGGAAGATTATAGGGGTTTTGGGGGTATTTGGAAGGAATTTTTGGATTTTTTGGGGAGGAATTTGGTGGTTTTGGGGGGAAAATTCAGGGGTGCTGGCAGAGTTCTGATTTTGGGAAGGGGATTTGGGGAGGATTTTTTGGGTTTTGGGGGAATCTCCACTGATGGGGAGGAGTCCTGATCACAGTGAGGAGCTGCATTTTGGGGAGGCCTGAATTTGGGGAGGGGTCTCAGGGAGGATTCCCGATTTTGGAGTGAGATTTGGGTAATTTTCCAGCGATGGGGAGGTTTCTTGGGGGTGGGATTTTGGGAGGAGTCTCATTGGGGGACCATCCTGAGCT